AGTCGGCTTTTGGGAAGCGGATACGACAAACGATAATCTAATCAGGATGCAGGAAACAACGACAGACGTTGAGGTTGTTAAATCTCCCGCAGCAGTGTGTCGCAGTTAGCTTGTCACATGTATGATGCAGATATTCTTGATTTATGCCCAATTATGAAGCGTGGTCTGAGCTGTGTTATTCCACACCGCAACGCTAGAGGGACAATCAGGAACTAGCTAGGATTGATGGTGTCCGTGTGTCGGTTTGACGAGCTTGTTCGCCATCCAAAACCCATCATCCAACGCTGGACGACACACAGTTCACCCATGAGTGTTCCCCAAAGACTGGCCGTGGCGCTGCGAGTTTTGGCTTCGGGTGCAAACCAACAGACCGTCGCACAGAGCTAACTAGCGTCCTGCACTGCGTCTGGGATAGTGTCCGCGGTGTCCGACGGCACTACAGCCAGAGTTTCTGCCATTAGGTACCAAACAGGAAGTACGCATAGTGTAGAGCAGATGTAGAATTGACCAATCAGAGGCCTCCTGTCTGCGGTCACCTACAATTTTGAGGAGGTGCATCAGAGTGTCTGCGGAAGAGCGGGGCATGTCTGCGTTAACTGCAACACGCACGCAGACGACCTGGTTTCTAAGCATAAACCAGTCAACATTCACATGATTGTTTTCAACTTTCGGCTACTTTAGATCGCATGAAATTAATGAAATGTAAAATAATAGCCAATATAGTTGGTAATAATACTGAGAGTCCAAAACAGATCTGATCCTTCAGAAACGGGTGTAATACAGTTTGTCCGAGTGGAGTTTCCATATGATGATGTCATAAGAAGGGGCGGGACCCCAAGCAGATCTGGTACCTGCACTGGGAAAGCTCATCATAGACGCTCCTTTAGTAGCTTCAACTTTTAATGTTTAGTTGTTTGATGTGTTTCCCTGCGCGGCGTATATGAAATGTTTTTATATTTTTGTTTTTTAAATACATTTTTAAAAAAAAGTTTTTCTAACCAACTCATCTGGTGTCTTTTGAAAGGATAAATTTCACTGCAAAA